TCTATGGCGGGTCCCTCTACAATGATGAGAATTGTCGCGTGAATCAGAATTCGAAGTCACATGATTCATACCAGCGTTGCAACACTGCATTTGTCTTTCTCCAGAGCTCTCTCCGAGGGCAGCGCCAAGGCGTGTTGCTACTGCTGGTTTTTGGTTGGATGGTCTGCCGCACACTGCTTGCATTATTCTGGTCTTACCTTATGACCTGGAGGGTGTGGACACTGTCTTCTTCACCTCCCAGCAGCAAGTTGATGGCTGCTGCTCCTCTCCTTGCAAGTCTTGAAGCCTTTAATTGGTGTGTTTTTTATCTGTCTACTCTCTTAGAAGTCTTCTTCAGAGTCTTGTAGTGAAATTATGCTTGCTTGGTTCAAGTTCAGTCACTCTCCCTCTTTCAACGTGTTGTCTGCAAAACTCAGAATGCACCCTTTCAAATACCGGCTTGAGGACCTCTGTATCTCGGTCTCCGCCATTGATGTGGGCACCACTTCGCCTGTGTTCCTCTCGTTTTCTGCCTCCTCACCGCCTGGGGGAAAACACTCTGCCTCTGCTGTGCCTTGGCTTCTCCAACTTTCTCACCTCCCACTCTGTTTTGAAGCTTTCACATGCACCTTTGTCGCTTGTCCGTTTGGCCTCCCCAACTTCTCCTAGGCCCATGGCACCTTCCTCACCCATACCCAGTCTATTGGGCCTTACTGGTCTTGTCTTGGCACCCCCTAGTCCTCTGGTGGGAGGACCTGTCTACATTCCGCAAGTTCATACTTGCGAAATTTGCTGGACTGCGTCCTGCTCGCCTCGCCTGACGCTTCTTTGGTTTAGCCAAGTGCCAGCGAGCGAGCCGCTGCTGACTTTCCAGCAGGCTCTGACAGGCTTTGACTGGGTTTGTGAATACATTGATTCACGCCAGTCTGTGAGCTCACTTTACTGCCGCAACAGCCCTTCCACTTGGCTCCACCAATTGTAGGCGGTTCCTTTTTTGCCTATTGTTCATTTAGTGTATAATGACTTGTGCCGACAACTGAACCAGA